CAAGAATTTCACAACATAAAAATCAAATCAGAGTTGCGTGTGTAGACGAGTTTAAATGCAAAAATGCCAAAGCAAAAGTAAGCAAAGTTCCTACCATAACATGAGTTATCTGATCACCGTGTATTTAAAAATTTGCATCCTACAGTGCATTTCTGTAAGCTTGCAATGGTATCCACCATAACATGCAGGTATAAAGTACTTATGGTATGAGATGCTACAGGTTTGCTTAGTGAATGAATGCAGTTTCTAATATAAAGGTTGTGGAGGATTTCAGATGTTACTTGGTGATCCTAGTTGATTATTTTTTCCCCTTTCAGGATGGAGGTTGGAATGCTAATGTAGAAATTGCCAAGTATATTTCACCTTAATCATTTGACAAGACTATGTATGCTTCTGCATTATACTGAGTGGAAACTGGCGGAGAAAAATTCTGTTTGCTTAGCTTTCTTCAAGCAAGGATGCTAACTTACTGAAATTTGCTTGATTTTTTCCAATTGATGTTTTATGTAGAGTTTCCATTGTAGTGTTTGCAAAGGACAGTGAATCTGTGAAACTCCTGTATTAGTAGGCATGTGTGGAACCATTTTATTGCAGAATTATGAGAAAGCCTCATGGCAACTTGTAGTGAGTTGAGGTATTTCATCTTCTTCTTGTGTTTAGCCTTGGGTATCTTTTTTCATGTTGTGAGTTTGGATGTTTCTTACTTGCATTGATGCTTTCAGATTAGAAAAGCCCACTGTTGTAGTCCTCCAGTACTGATCAACACTGGATGTTAAGGAAGCTGAACCTCTGCTCTGTTGCTTGCCTCCCTTGCTTCTCAAGTGAAACGGATGTAGAAAGGAATGGGCAGCCTGGGATGGCTGCCTGGGAATCACACCCCAGGCTGCAGAGTGCTCTTCACTTTGAGGAGCTTCCCATCTGTGTAATGGGAAGACCTTTACCAGCTGTTCTGTATCATGTGTTCCACGTTGAAACAGAGAAATGAGAAACGAGTCATGCTCTGCTATAAGAAAAAGCAGCTTTTCTATTCAAATGTAAACATATATATTCAAGTGTGTATGTATTTTAGCTGTTGATATTTTTATTATGTCCTTCACCTTAAAAAGAAAAAAACTCGAGTCTCAGAGTCTCCTTTCTGGTTGGGCAAACTATAAATTTAACACAGGTTTGTGAGCAGTGAAAGCTGAGTAGGCAAAACAGCAAGCTTACGGAAGATTTCTTGTCATTCTTAGTAAACCTCCTTTAAGCCATTCTTTTGAATAATATTGCTGCTTCCTGGTTTTCTGTCTTTCTTGACAGGTAGATTTGATAGTATTCAGTTTATATTTGTGTTGGAAGTTGTTGAAAATTTTTGTTTTGGATTGCATTTACAAATGCACCAGAGTTTTACTGTTATAAAATATTCTTTTTACTCTCTCCTGGTTTCCTAATAAAATAAATTGGACTCATTTTGGTCCTGTCCTTTCATTGCTTTTAGACTTGGTTGTGCTCTGTACTAAGTAATGGAAGCTCTTCACAATTCTTTCTTTCTTCTTTTTTCCTCTAAAGAAAGCACAGAGATGAACTTTAACTATGAGAACATCCTAATCGTGTCATGTTTGTGCTCTAAGGCTGCAGCATCCTCTGGGTATTGTTAGTACCACCGAAGCATGTGCGATTGGTCCCCATATGCCCTAGACACCAGTATGAGTGTCGGGCTCCGCTATGGTAGGGTACTCAGACATTTGAACTAGGAAACTCGGGGTTGTATCGAATGCTAGGCCTGTTTTTGTTTACAGAATTGGCATTAAAATATGGAAGCTCGTGTCTTATGATTGTTAATTGGCCAACTGCTTATATGTTACTACAGTTTGATCCCTTTCTCAGTGTCTTCTATTCCGATGTTTGAATGAGGTTGTTAAAAGGCAGTGATTATCAGTAATTTAAAACCTGAAATAAATTTCTGTAAAATTACTTTGCTTTACTATTTAAATATATTTCTTAAAGGTGATTTACTTATAAAGAAAAATCTTTTTTTCCACCCAAGTGTTTATAAACAAACAAACAACAAAGTGTATGAAATTAAGCCTTCAGAATATGCTGTGGACCTGAGGATATGAGCAGGTTGCAGCTGTCTTCACCCATGTTATTTGAAATAACAAATGAGATAAGAACTCTACAGCTGGTGGCAAGCACTATAAGCTCTGCACCCTCTGCTCACCTCCCTCCTTGGCTTCCTAAAGGAGACAATGCTAACAAGGCCAGCGGGCTAACTCTTACTGGGCTACTGCTCACTTGCAGCAGCATTGAGAGGTAGGGCTCTACACTACGTGACAAAGCTATCGTATATAAGGGAATACTGTTCATTTTGATGCTTGTAAAAAGGACATGCTTTATTCCAGTAAAATAATAAATAAGCAGGGTTTTATGATAAATATTGCTATTAGTCCTTCTCAACTGTAATAATTTAAGAGTGGAATTGCACTTAGGTGTTGCCGAATTTTCAATGTTAATGTACAGTTCTTATACCAATTAATCAAAAAATTCCTGTGTGGTAGATAAAGTATTATCTTGGTACCTGTAGGAGCACCATGCTAAAGCTGTTTGGCTATTATTTGGGTACTTCATATAAATATATTGTTTAAATTTAAAGGGCAATATAGAGGAAAATACTGTGTTGTGGAAGTTCATAAAACATATCTACTGGCAATGGGATTAAATGTCTTTTGAGTCACTTAGATGTTTCTAGGAAAGATGGTCAGTTTTTAGTCTGAATTTAAATGCTTAACACAAGTTTGTCTGAATACCTGTTAATGCTTTCTAAATATATTAATTACAAAATGGCTGAAAAATTGTCTTTTAAATCACTTCTTCAGCCCATCTTAATACATAGTCTAGGTATTTTAAAAGAACTGGAAAGTATGAAGAAAGTGTTGGAGTGTAATAGCTGAGCTTCTGTAAGTGAAACCAGATTCGTCTGAGAGGACCTGAAATCTTCTAGTCCTGTCTAGCTTGCAAAAAAAAGTAAATTGTAAACATCAAAATTGTAAACATCATGTGAGCATTAGTGACTGATTTGTATAGCCTCCCTCTGTGGATTTGAAATTTCAGTTTAGAAGTAGCCTTCATTCCTACATGCTAATGGAAGAATCTAGAACTGAAAACTGATGTGTTAGATGGGATCTTCTGTACTGACGGCTGAAATATTGAATTCATATAGCAACTCCTCAACTGTGTGTGTAATAGTGATGAGTTCAACTTACATGAGTTAAATATTGAAAATAGGGAAGTGGAGAGTGGAGGAAGGTTCTTTTGTGGAGGTTGTTATTCTCAGGCACATTTTGGATTTTCTTAGTAAATAAATGTGGTGAAAAATGTTACATGTGAAGTTCACCTTACCCATGTCAATACAAGGTTAATGGAGAAGCCAGTAAAATGGAGGTGGGAACAGACCCTTTGGAAGAATGGGAGAAGGAAATACTTTTTGCACAGTTTTGCACTAGTCACCAACTACCACTGGCTGCAGCAAAGGGCAAGAGTAAAAATGGATAGAAATATCCAGTTATATGATGCTCTATAAATGAAGAGTTTATATTCTTTCCAGGGAAAACAAAACAAAACACCTAAGTGAAAACCAAACTTTTACTAATTGGATTGATAACTCTGCCAGTGGGTTATTTTCATCCTTCCATGCAGCATCTGTTACTGGCCACTAAGACAGAATATTAGATTAGAGTGGGCTCCTGTTTAACCCAGTGTGACAATTCCTGCTTAATAATGTTAAAGTGTTCGGGTTTGTTTTACGTACATTTGTATTCATACCTGCACCCACAAGAACTTCTTAACTCAGTCATCTGTGGAAACCAGTTCTCCACAACATACTGCAGTGAGGATGTAGTTAGATGCCTTCATTGTGCCTCAGAAGAAATATCAATATTGCAGGTTCAGTATTCAGAGATCCTTTCTGAAATTTGTCTATCCTGGGGCTGATAGGATTTAATTTTGAATGTAGGGGGATGCAGTAAGAAAGATGAAGGTACAGTTTTGATTCATCTTTGAAACAGTTTACAAATGAGATTCTTGTGACAACTCTGATGCAGAAGTGGGGGGATGACAGTAGCTACTTTTCTGGTGGTATTTCTTTCACGTTCTGCAAATTTTGTCCTCATTAGAATAGCTTTTAAGAATTACACCTTAACTTTGCTAAACTCTGTTGGGGCTTTTCTGCAGCACCTACTTGTTCTACTTAAAAGTAATTTGAACTTTTACAATTCTCTTTGGTTGCCTGGGTGTAGTGGTTTTCTTAGGCGGATATTTTTAAGACATTATGTAAACCTTACTTGTACTCAGTACTGAGGTCAGGGATTTTTATCCTTCCCTAATCCCCAAAGAAGTATCTTTATGAAATAACCATTTCCATACTAGTCATCAGTAAAATTCAGTAAATTTATATGTTGGAAGCATTTGTAATCTCTCAGCTCTATTGATAATAGCTTTGTTTCCACCGTGACTTGATAAGTAGTGATGTCTGTTCTAAAGCAGTGCCACTTGGATTGCTGCCTTGTGCCCTCTCTGTATTTAGCCTGGTAATGTGTCTCATAGACTTGAGATTATGCAGTTTCTAACCTTGCAGGTTAGCTCACTTACACCTTCTTCCCTTTCTGTTCTGTTTTCTCAGAAGTTGACATGTTGCAATTTGCTAAATGTTAGTATACCGATTTCTGTAGTACTGTTTTCCTTTCCCCGAGAAAGCTTACAAAGCTGAAAGGATAAGAGCCTGTGACACAGACAGTGCCTAGCACAAGAAAAGTCTAACCTAGAAGGGAGCCCCAGAGTGCTAATGAGCAGGTGTGATGGAGTATTCAGCAAAAGCTTAAACAAATGTGCTCCCCACACCCTGCTCCAGATCACTCAGGTCAATCAGTTTGGTAGTCTTGAAAAGAACAAGCTCAATACAATGGGACACTTTCTGTTTGTTTGTTTGTTTTTTTTCTGACTCTTAGTTGTTTTTTACATTATAGGACTACAAAGCTGATGAAGACCCTGCATTATTCCAGTCAGTTAAGACTAAGAGAGGACCTTTGGGGCCAAATTGGAAGGTAATAAGAACTAACTTGACAACCTTATAAAGTCTTATCAGCAGGAAAAAAAGTCTGCAGTTTCTTAGAGATTAGCACTAATGATGTCAGTCTTAAAAACAGAGGGCAGAAATATTTATTTCCTTTTGTATTCTGTTAAAATTCCAAATATGTTGATAAGCAGGGTACTGTCTACAAGTTGTTTATTATTGCTACTGAAAACAAAGCAATGCAACTTAAATTGGATGAACTTACTCAAGACTGACATTTGAATCTGCGCTGTGATGAATTCCATGAAAGTGTTCATTCTATTATGGTAACCCCTGACAGTAACTTATATAAAAATAATAATAATAAAAAATAAAAAAACACAGTAGGAAGCTTCCAACTATATTTAAATGGTTATAACATCTGTGTATCGATATACTAAATCTAAGCCTGTCTTCATCTTGCTATATTTTTTTTTAAACTTTTGTGGTATGCATATAAAATGCACACACAAAAAAAAGTAGTATTTCATCATAAGTATTCTCCTTCAGTGTGATAATAAATCTTGTTTGTATTTCTGTATGCATGTGTACAGTCATGCACAGATGCATCTACTGCGTTGCTGAAATTCTTAGTCTGAGTTATGTAAACTGAGCTGGTTTGGGGAATACATTTTCCACGTACTTTGGTCATTTGCCAGCTTTCTGTTAAGTAAAGCCATTGTACAACCACAGGAAAATGGCTTGACCAAAACTTTCATTTCAAGGTAAAGCCATCTGGCCTTTACCCAAGGCTGCAGTTATCTAAGCCTGTGTACTAAGAATTTTCTTTTAAATGCATTATGCAGGCTGCTTGCTTAATATTACCAAACATTACCAACCAAAATTTAGTGTGCTGTATTTCCTTCATGTCCTTAGTGAAAAATGGGATAAATCTGTTTTAAATGAGACATAACATTCTGTGAAAGTTCCTCGGCATTAGTGCCACCTTTCTGCACACATTATTGAGTATAGGTAAATGCTTACCACATAAAATCAATCCAGTAAGAATTTGCTCTGCTTATATATTCAACTACAGCAAAGTCATGCTCGAGAACTGACTCTCAGGTAGTCTGTATACACAACAAATTTCAAAGTAGAAATAATCTGGGCATTTTTAAATTAGATTTCTTTTAACAATTCAATGGACAACTGCTGTTAGTTGTGCACAAATTTACAAGATTTATTGTAAGGTATAATGCATAAAGATCTTGGTCAATAATGTATATTTATTTAACGTGGAATGTTTAGCACTAATATGCATCACCAGAGAGCTTTTGAATGAAAACCAGTTATCCTCAGAAGGCTGATGTTCTATTCATGAACAAAAAAAACAAAGTGCTGTTGTTGTTTTGTGTTCCTAAACAGCAGAAATCTATGTCCAGGCATTAGTAAAAGGACAAAACTAAATAGAACATAAAAATTCAGTGCTGCCAGTTCCAGGCAGTCGGAGTTCTCCTTTTGCAGCTGTTTTTAAACAATAAAAAAGTAATTCCCCTCTTTCATTGAGTCACACAGGCCCAAATAGGCCATTTCTTGTATCAGCCCTCCTGCCTGTTCCCTGTGAAACAGGAAAAGAAGAACAAAATCTATGGCAGAATAAAAATCTGTGCACTTCATACAGTAACTTGTTATTCAAGCCAAACACACAGGTGTAAGTTAAGTTTTGTTTGTTTTAAACCTTGTTTTTTAACTCTTAGAAGGGTTGCAGTAACCAAACGTGCTGTTAGACAAAAACATGACATACTTTTAGTCTCTTCTGTTACATAAATTTGACTGCGTAAATTGTATGAAAATCACTGTGCGTGATGTTACAGGTACTTCAGACCTGTTTGGAAGTAGGAACTCTGAAGTTGTTTCATGTTGTTGTGAGAAGTAAACTTCAGGGGTAGTTATGTGCTTTTTATTATCTGATTTTTTTTTCTAGTGTGAATGGTTTTCCACCATCATACTGAGAGACTTGGTACAACTCAGGTTATAATTGCCTGTAGGTAATAGACCCACAAGTGTAAAATAAGTTGGCACTAGCAATTATAATTAAGCTTTGTTGTCCCCTCAAAATGCCTGAAAGTATATTATAGTTTAAGTCTTGAAAATGAAAATAATGTTAAAATTTAAATTTATAATATATGCTTGCGGCTTGCAGTATGGATGGAATTGTTTTGTAGGTTTACCTGATTGTCTGTTAATCCCTGTTATCCTATGTTGAGATTGCAGTGCAGTCATTTTCTAATACCTAGAATGATAATTTCTAATAATATTAAATGTATTTCACTGAAATAATTAAAAAAAAAAAAAAAACTTTCAATTTATCTGTAAACAGAAAGAGCTAGCAACTGATGAAGAGTGTCCTAAAATGTGTGCTTACAAGTTGGTGACTATCAAATTTAAATGGTGGGGACTGCAGAACAAAGTTGAAAACTTTATACAAAAGGTAAGTGCTTCTTAAAAAAACAAAAAGCACTGATGTTGCTGGAGAGATGGGATTGGTGGTGGGCAGGTAGGGAGGCAGGGTGGTTTTGTTTTGGCAGTTTTTTTGTTTGTATGTTGTGGTAGTGGGTGGTGTTTGTTTTTTTTTTTTTGAGGTGAAACAGCATAGAAGTTTTCTGTTGCTTGCAATCAAGCAGTTCCTGTTCATTTCCTCAGCAAACAGAACCATTTGTGCCTTGGTCTAACAGCAGTGATGTTTCATTGACGGTGTACTAGAATAACCTTCTAAGCTAAAAAAGCAAAAGTATTAGCAAAGAGTCTGTGTCATGTAAGTTCAGCTCATGATTTTGTAAACAACAGCACTTGACAAATCTTTGTTTTGTTTTGACCTCATAAGTTGAAAGTTGCATAAAATATGTACTGGTGTTTCCTTAGTATTTTCTATTCCAGTTTTCACATGGAAGTGTTCTTGCATTTGTACTAATTCTACAGTACTTTATATTTCTGGAATTAAATGCTTGCAAAGTGAGGTCTGAGGCAAGTATAATCCAATACTAGGGTTTAGTTGGCAACTGGTGTTTTGTCAAATTATACTTGCATCTTATTTCATTACTGCTTTATCATCAGAATATGAATTGTGAAATTAAAAAAAAAAAAAAGGTCTAAACATTCAAAATGTAAACTTAATGTGTAGTCAAAATGTTTCATCTCTATTGGCATTCCAGTTCTCTTCAATCCAGAGAAAATGTGCTGTATAAGTGAGTAACAAAAACATAAAAACATATTCTGGTAGCAATTGGCCATGGTGTTTGCTCACTGATAAAACACGAGTGAGACCATTGTCATTGTGGTAAACAGGGCTTTTAGCTATCAGTGGACTACCTAGCAAACTGCATTAAAAGTTTTGTTATTTTAATAGTGATGATAGCAAAAGAGAAAACCTTCAAACAATAATAATTGAGAATAAGATAGAGAAGGTAGTTTGTGATATCTGCAGTACAAAGGAAGGGAAGGAGATGCTTTGGTGTGGTGGTGGGTATGGGAAGGAATTGTGCATTACACATTTCAAACTGAAAACTGGTTGGGAATAAGCTACTGGAAGAGCCAAGACTGATTCTGTGATCTGACGAGGGGAATACTTAAAGATATGATTTTTTTTTTATTTATTTTTTTTTGCCTTGCTTTAATTGAAGCTGATTCTTCAGAGGAAGTTGATCTCTTTCTGCCAGTTGTCAAGAACTGTGTGTTAAATGTGATCAGCTTTGTTTCTGAGGACTGTCAGCAGCTTTAACAATGCCAAATCTGGGAACAGATGAACAAGACCTGAACTTTAGGTGGCACCCTGGGTAACTAAATACATTCAGAAGTCTGAGTTTTAGTAGTGAAATGGATTTCAGTGTTGCATCTGTATGACTGCTTTGATCAGAGCAGCCAGAAGCAATAGTGATAATTCTGCAGATGGGATGGTTTATATGATACGTCTTTCATCTTCCAAGTCAACATTGTAAAAGTTAAAATTCCATGGCACTAGAGGTAGACTGAGCTAGTACAGATCTTCAGCACAACACTGTGTTTTTAGGGCTAGCAGTATTTTAAAAATGTGAAACCTAACAATTTGAGTCACATTGACAGTATTCTTACTGAGATCGATTCAGAACCCAGATACGCCTGCTGTAATGAAATGGCTGTGGAATCCTTAGCTTAAATATCTGAACTCTCGAGGGTTTTGTACCTTTGAAATTGCATGTCAGGTGTTGCCGAGATGCTGACTCACTACAAATCAGAAGTGTGCCATCTTTGGAGTCAGAACTACCCCCCTCATTGCTTCATTCTGCCTTGTTGTACTTTGTTGTTTTTTTTAACAGCACAAAACCTGTAACAGTTCAGGTCTAGATTTTTATACAGTGCAAGCTAAACATTCTAGCTGTTATAATGCCGTTTTTATTTCAGCTTGGTGCTGTCTTGGATAGAACAAATTTTAGAAGGATTCTTCAGGATCTTCAAGTAACATGAATTGCTGACCTTTCTCAACTTGTTTTTTGGTAGTGAAGTTTGTTCATTTTTAAAATGTGGGAATTAATATGGCTTTAAATAGGATCCAGTAATGTGAGGAGGCTAAATCTCTAGCAGTATGAAACATTATGCACCTAAAGATTATACTTTTTCAAAATGAACAGCTGCAATCAATTCACCAGTCTTTGGCAAAATGCAGGCCTATATCTAATGTTTACTTATTTTCTTAAAGCAAGAAAAAAGGATATTTACCAACTTTCATCGCCAGCTGTTCTGCTGGATTGACAAGTGGATTGATCTGACTATGGAAGACATTAGGAGAATGGAGGATGAAACCCAAAAGGAGCTGGAAGCGGTAAGACCTCCTTAAGGCTGATGTTTGTGTGCTGTCTATAGCTATGCCGTTTAGACTGCTAGAAATTGAAGCAAATTAAGTTGTGTACATCCTCTTGTGTGTGTCTGGGCAGCTGCCAGTGAGCATTATAGCCCCTTTAAAGATTCTCCTATGCAGAACCACGCACTTCAAGCTTCTGCATGCTGTGTTTTGTTAAGTTGGAAGTGGCTATGAGGTAAATATTTCAGATGTCAGTAAATCTGAAATGTCTACATTGCCCATGTCTTTGTTTATGTTATCATACTCATTATATAAAATCCCTTTGAGTGCCTGTTTACACTTGTCAGGTAGAGCTGTCATCTCGTGTTGCTTTGTTTCATTTCTAATCATTGTTAGACATGATTACTTTTTCTCTTCAAACATGTTGTGAAGCAAACTTGTACATGTCACATGACAACAGTTGCGCTCATCCTGATTAGCACAACAAAACTAAATTTTACTTGAGAAAAAAAAACAAACAGTAAAATTAACAGGTTTGAGGTGGTATCATTTTTCCTGCATTAGTGGCTGTGAGGATCAAATATATTTAGTTTGATCCGTCTTTGGACTGAGGTCTAGAAGGAAATCCATCCATTGGGCACTTTCCCAGCTCTTTATTTTAAGAGGCAGAGAAACATCATAGGCTAAGCAAGAAGCCTTCTTCTGCAGTCTCTTTCCAGAGCACAACCTTTGGTATGAGCCTTTCTCACTCTAAGTTCTGCTATCTTTAGGTTCTTTGCAGTCTGTGGAGTTGCAATTGTGTTGTCTTCCCATTTTGCCGACTGCTTTATGCCCCAAACCTGTTCAGCTTGTCATTTTGCTTCCATTGTCTTGGTGCTGTTAGGATACAAAGTGCCTTCAGCTACAACTTGCTTTTTTGCATGGTTTAACTCATTTCAGCTGCCAGACATCTTTAGATACTGTCTTATGCTTTTGACCTACTGTTGACAGTGGTTATAAAGTGCATTTTGTGGTTTGAGCCTAACACATCTTTTCTTTTAGTATCAAAGCTAGCTGTAACTACTCCATCCCCACTTGTGCTCTCTCTGTTTGGTCTTTATGAACTATGCGGAGCCATCTTACATTGTGTAGAAACGTTTTGTGTGTTTGGAAGAAGTGCTTCTTCACCATTCTGTATGTTAATAGGTAGATGGTCTGAACTGGTAAAACCAAACTTTCTTTTCAGATAAGCTGAAGGGATTGTCTGCCGTGGCAGCTCCCAGAATATGTTTTGGAAAAGAATGATGTCCATTCACTCTTGCAAACACAGTACTTTCTCACTGGCATTTGGATATTTTTATTACGGAAAGTGTTCTCTCAAATCACATGGATTTCTTCTTTAATTCTGCTTTATGCCAGAATCTATAGTTAGAACCACCTATTCCTAGGTGTCTATGAAGGAGGAAGAGTAACCACTTTCCTCTCTATACCTGATTTTTATCAGAAGGGTTTTCTTTTGCACACCCGTAGTTCTTTATTTGGAATGAAACGGACTTCATCCAATTTCTCTGAGAAAGGATAGTGGCAGTGTGAGTATTGCATACAAGGTATGTATTGGAGAGAGTAAGCAGTGCTTGATGCAGCCCTGTGCATGAGAAAGTTTCCCTTTTGTGTCTCTGGATGTTTGTCTTCTGTAAAGCAAGTGTTGTTTCACAATTCTCACTGGTAAGTAATTGTTTTGCAAAAAGCATTTAAAAGAACATTTGCTCCTGTTTTTAGTTAGGCAAAGCCCACTTCACGTGTTTCTGCGTGTAATGTTTATCCTTGTTCTTAAATGTCAAACCTACTTGTGTACTATTTTTCTTGTTATGCTGAGCAATGCAACTAGCTTATTTCAAGTAGCTCATCATGTATGACCTTACTTTCAAGAACTTAAGTGTATTACTTCTGAAAAAGTCTATTTTGTCATGAGAAAAATGCATTGGTAAGTTACACTAACACAGCGTTTCTATATGTATTATGAAATGTGAGAGAAGTGAAAACCTACTGCTAAAGTATCTTTTTCTTAACTAAATAGAGGTATGTACAAATACCATAAATGATGCTGTTCCAAGGTTTTTGTGGTGACATGCACCTTTTATTGAAAAATAGCCTAAAGGCAAAAATGTCACTGCAAATACAACGTGAACATTAATTTTGCCCCAAATAGTTTGGTTGTGTTTCATAAGCAGCTACTTCTTTGTGCAAAATAGTAACTTTCATTAAATCCAAGATATACAACAAAACATTTTCTTCTATGGCCTGGACTACTGGGAAGTAAGGACTTCAGTGGTAGGGTACTTAACATGTTGACAAAAATATGTTCATGCTTCGGTCTCCACAGATAAATGTTTTTTGACACTGTTCCATTATGTAGGTTTACAATGCTTAAACAGAAACAACTGCAGAAAGCAAGCCTCCTAATATTGGCAGCATTACATTTCCTTAGAATACATTGCTTTGTTTTGCTGTTCTCTTTTGTCATTAATACCTTTCTTCTTCTTAGTTTAAGCTAATCTTTCTCTTTAGATTCTGTAGGTGTTTCAGTTCCTTTTTGGTCCTGTTCTTCATCTTAAGTCAATTTTTATTGTCAGGGTCCCTGCTTTTGTTACTTTTTTTGTTACTCTCTGAATCCTCATCAGTGTTCTGCCAGAGTTCCTCTATCCCAGCCCATTCTTTTCTTGTTTTTGTTTCTTTCTTTCACTTAGAGTTTTATGTATCTGGCTTCTGGAGAGAAGGAGCACCTGTGCCTCATTAAATACACATCAGCTAATCAGTGCATAATAGAAGAGCATCTGACCCTGCCAAAGCACTGTGACATATCTCATGTCTGAGTATTTCAAGCAATATCGCTCTGAGCTGAAGCATCATGGCCTGTTAAAAATCTAAGGGGTATCATCTACAGCTGCTGTATGGTTCCCAGGCTTCCCTCACCAAAAAGAAACACTCTGTATTCCCAGAAACACTCTGTATTCCCAGTCTGCAAAAAACTTCAGCTGAGGCTGGTCCTGGTTTTGGTCCTGGCCAGGGAAAGTAGTCCTGGCTGTGTAGATCGTTACTTCTCTCTTACTAACCACAGTATGATAGGTTCTTTACGTGGTAGCTCACAGTTTTATTTTACGTTTAGATGCGTAAGAAGGGTTCCGTTCGAGGCACATTGGCTGCTGACGTCTAGAGGAGGTCTCTCTGTAGGTTCTGAGGCAAATCAAGCTGTGTAAGTCAACTGCTGGATGGAAAAGGAGAAAAGTGACTAATATATGGATGGGAATTGCTGGCAAAATTATATCTCGACAATGCTTCTGGGCTGTAAGCTCACACCTGTTTGAGAACCTCAGTGTGATCAACAGCTGAAGATGACATTTTGTGTCCAGGGTACATAAGAGACCTTCTCTGTACATGGACACTGATCAATTGCAGGTGCTCAGTCTGGTTGCAGAATGCCTTACACACTGGCAATGTAATCCAGTTCTTTGTGCTCATCTAGTGCAGAAACCCAAAGTGTGTGACCATTGTTATCGCCACGCTGGTACTGAGCTCTGAAGCCTGCAAGTAGTTTTCTGGGCACAAATCAGAAAAGTCAGGATCGCACGATATGTGGACTTAATCCACATAATTGAGGGAAACTGTGGGCTGTCATCTTTAAAGCGTGTTAACTTCACAAAATTCAGTTCCATACAGATATTTAAAAATATTAAATTATATTAAAATTGTTACTGCAGGAAGCAGGGTTTTCAGAGGTTTGCAGACTTCTGAGTATTTGTGTCTATTACTTTAATGTTGGTATTTCCCACTGTGATTGTTTTAATACTGCAGATGGGATCCCCAGCCAAAGCATTTTTTAAATCCTACTGATTGGTGTGAGGTTTCTCAGACTCGAGCTGCTGTCCACCAGTGAGGGGATAGCACCCAAATTAAGATTCCCTAACAAATCTCACATTGCTTTGGTATGATTCGTTCAGTCCTGGTGATGTTTTGACTGCCCTGCCCTATTTTTCTTGGAGGTTAATGAAACTATCTGTTTGGAACTTAGTATTCAAATGAACTGCTAATGCTTAATTGTGTGTCTTCTTTCTCCACAGTTACGTAATCAAGGCCAAGTCAGAGGAACAAGTGCTGCCAACGATGAATGATGATGGATTTAACCATCACATGCAGTGTTGATATACAAATGTGTGTGTGGATGCATGATTATTTGTATATAATTATATATACGCACATGCATACTGAAGGGGGTTGTTACAGTGTCTCCAGGGTACTATACCTGTCCTCAGCAAAGATGCAAAGGAAACTGCTTTCATTATGTATACCTGAAGCAAATAAAAATCAACTGAGTAGTGTCATTTAAAGGTTGAATTAACTGCAGAATTATGTTAACTGGTATGTTTCATGAATGTCAATACTGGACCAATTTATTCCTTACTTTTTTTTTCCTGTCTTGAGTCACTCTGCTATAACTTGCCCGTATCTCAGTGTAAAGAAACAGATTGAAATAAGTTGATTTCAATTTTGTGTCTTCCCTATGTCGTCATTTTTGGAATAGGAACAATGAATGTATTTATAGCTATTTATTTCTGGATTGTCATTATCCTACAGTCAAATCAGAAAGAAATTTCTATTAGCAGAAATTGGAAGACTTTTAATGTTGAATGAGTTTGACTCAAACTTTACCCATTCTCACTGATTTAAAAAAAAAATAAAAATGTTTTATTGGACTTTTGTACATTCAAATGCTAATGTTTTTTCTTCATTAAAATTGGCAAGATTAAGGAAAAATGGCTGGTGATTTATAAAATACTTGCAATTTGGAATTTTGCGGAAGCTGGCTTTCTAGACAAAGAAACTGACAATATTTTTAGTATATCTTAGGCCATGCAGTGAAAATGGAGGCAGATAGACCTTGTCTAAAGTAATACTGTTAATAAATATTGCAGTTTTCCAGAGTTTCAACTTTGGAAGCTATGCAAATGGTCTTGATTTCACACACATTACACAATGGAATATAATGGTGATTTTAGCTCTTTTCATGTTGAAAATACACTTAAAAAGAGATGTATGCTTTCAGATATTATGAAAGTTTAAATTGTAGCATCTACCATGTTTCTCTGATATTTGTTAGGAGTGGACACACAAAAGAAAAGATGGTGTAATTAAGGTGGTCTGTAGATAACTCTCAAATAGGAAAATGTCTTCAGCATTTTTAAGAAAATATTGAGATAGAGCATATCATAGGTATATATTGTCAAAATGCTTGCTAGATCAGAAAAATTATTTTAGAAACACTAGTTAAGTTCTAATACTGCCTGGTGTCCCCAGAAACCTCGGTAAGGCAATCCTTGCTTAAGCATCCATCTTTATATAATCTCACATACATCCAACTATTCAGAACCTTTTTTTTCTTAGGCTGCTTACGAAAGGAGTCATCTGATTTCTGCAACCATCAATGATATTTGCCTGAACTTGAAGGGTAGCAGGGCCAGGTCTGCCATATGGCTGACCCTGCCAGTGCACGCGTCTGCTGTGAGGGCTGGGCACTGAAGTGCCTGCCAGCAAGTGGACATTTGTGCATTTCTTCTGTGCAATTTCACCTTCCTGTCCTTCATACTGCAAAGCTGATGGTTTTTTTGTTTTTCCTTTTTGGATTAGCGATTAAATGATGCTTGTTTGCTGTACCAACAGGTCGGTTTTGCAAATATATGTACATACACACATCATTTAAAAAGGAGGGCTGTTGCAAACCTGGAAAACTAAGGTCTCAGTTCTCTTTCAATGGTAGAATACAAGTTCCACTGTCATCAAAATGAGTCAAAAATGAGTCATAATGGAAACTGAGGGAAAGGGACCCTACAACTTTCATATCTTTGGACTTGTGAAAATTTGAGAGAATCTTGTAGTGAATGTAAAATGTTGAGTTTACTTTGGCAGACTTTGGTGTGACCTACAGCAAAACAGTCAATGAAATTTAAATAAATTTGGTGATAAAATGCTCTGTCTCTTGTCTTAGGTATTAGTACTTGTGGTTTGCTAATGATCTGGCATTTAGTTTTACTGAACTGCATGAGGTTGGAAGTGCTCTAAGGATGAGCTTCAGTCGTTGTGAGCTCAAACGTGTGCTTGTATGTTAGAAGCAATTGAGGCGGTGGGTTGTTGGATATTTTGGTTTAGGACTGTTTTGGTTTAGGACTTCAAGCAGAGTAACACGTAATTAGCTTGAACCTTGCCATTATCTGGAGTATAAAGAAGGTGGTTTGCTTTCATTGTTATGACTTCCTACCTTAATATGCCAGGCTAGATTTTTGCAGATGTTTGCTTCTGGTATTCTTGGAATAGAGTGGTGCTCTGGTTGGTATGTCTTCATGTGTTACGGGTAGTGCTAATCCTGTATTCTGCCTTTGTAAGGAAAGGATCGTCCCAACGTGCAGAGTGAACGGGGTGGAAAACATTTATAGTTTTAAGGAGGAATCAGCAGCAGTGCCAGTTTGACATTAGAAAATGGAGGCATCAAAGTCACCTTACCCTGGTGTAGAGGCTAATTTACAAAAATGTGGCTCCTTCAAAGTGAATTAGTGTGCAAACTTTCTTACAGAATACTTGAGGAAGTGGCAAATACATTTCCAGGTTCCCTGGAAAGGACATCTGAGAAACCTTTTAAGTTGGGATAAGATATATAAGGATACAGCAGGTAGGGGGGAGTGGTTGAGCAACTAACAGGCTTGTTTATTCTGGTGTCAGTGAAATGCAAAGCTTCAGAACAGACTTCTGAAGAAAGACCTGAAAACTTTAATATAAAATTATCAGAGGCAGCTGCAAATAGCTTGCATGGGATGATTCTGTCATGTGTCAATTTATTATGGTCATAAGAGCAAAGATATGTATTAGGCTGGGAAAAGTGAAGCAGTTGCAAGCAAGTGGTGGAGTCTGGACCGGAGAAGGGATTGCAGAGCTGCAAGTGACCACTGATCCAGGTATGGTGTTGAAGAGGGGATCCCATCTTGCCCGTGGTTCATGGCCCTCACCTGCCTGGCAAGGCTGCAGAGAGCACTTGCAGCTGCCTTGGTTTTGGAGACTCCTTGGAGACTCCTTTCCCCCACAGGAAGGAAGGGAGGACTGAGACAGCTCTTTGAGCTAAAAAGGGCTAAAATATCCATGTGTCTGTCCTGACAGTGTAGGCCTGTCTTGGCAGCATCAGTGACCAGATACATGTTGTAAGTTAGCTGGCCTCAAGATTAGGAGCAGGAGCTTGCTGACACTGATTAAAACCATTGTCCTATGGGATGAGAAATCTGGAAATGGACTGTGGGCTACCAAGTCTGCTGAAATTGCTGGATTTCAGGAACCATTGATGTTTTTTGGTTGTTTTCTTAATATGTAGTCTTTGGCAGTACGTAGTCATAGAATCATTTACCAGTTTGTGTTGGAAGGGACCTTAAAGATCATCTAGTTCCAACCCCCCTGCCATGGCAGGGATGAGCCATCCACAACTTCTCTGGGCAATCTGTTCAAGTGCCTCGCCACCCTCTGAGTGAAGAATTTCCTCTAACATCTAATTAACATCTAATCTAATTCTCCCATTTTTTAGCTTAAAACCGTTAAACCGTTCCTCTTTTTTTTTTTTTTTTTTTTTTTTACAAGACCTTTTAAGTATTGAAAAGCTGCAATGAGGTCACCATGGAGCCTCCCTTTTTCAAGCTCAACTTCCCCAGCTCTCTTTCTTCATAGGGGTGCTCCAGCCCTCTGAACAACTTTGTGGCTCTCATCTTGACCCATTCTAACATCCACATCCTTCTTGTGCTGAGGGCCACAGACCTGGATGCAGTACTCCAAGTGGGGGCCCAGCCCTCTTGCTCACTAATGAGGATGCGGTAGGAGCAAGAACTGCAAATTGGAGCAGGACAGGAGTTTGTCCTCAGTGTGCACCAAATAAAAGCTTGCCTCTTTGTGTCTCGTTGATGTAGGGTTTTGGCCTCCCCTCGCTGACTTCACCTTTCTCGTAATTGGCCACTTCAGTAACAATGCCATGTGTATTTGAAGTATTTAAAAAATAACCTTATTGCTGGAATAAGATAGAGGTGATCAGGATTGTGACAGGGAAAATATTCTGTTCAGTAATATATTTACAAATTACAGAGAAACTCAGGTAATGGCTATTTATTGCAAGGTTATCTTTGCAGGTTGTACAATAGTGTATTTTTTTCTCTCAGGTCCTAGTTTTCGGAATTCCCTGGTGAAAGCTTAGGGTAACCTGGCATCTGCGTTGCCTCTTGGAATTGTCTGCAACAAGACTTTACTTCTCCTTTTCCCGTCAGCACTTGTCATTTGTGAGCTATTGCTGACAAGGTCACTGGTGCCGGATTTGTGGCCTGTCCCTGCTGACCCAGCAGGCCCGGGGTTTGCCCCTGACAGCAGAGGCCGCTACCATTGCCAAAGAGCAGCCGGAGGGCTCAACATGGCTGGGGCAGCAGCTGCTGTCACTTCTGAAGGGGGAATCTGCAGTAGACAGGTCTAACAGGGATGCTGGAAGTGATTTCCAGCAATGCCTTAGCCCAGAGAGGTCCTACAGAGAGCCTTTCACCACAGAGCTGGGTGCATGGGGTAGAGGGCCTTGCACAGGTGTCTGTGTGGGCAGCAGGCTGGCCCCTCTCCACAGCCCTCAGTGTCTGGAGTCTGTCTTGGGAAGAGCAGCAGCTGCAACAAAACAGTTCAGACTAATCATTTTTTCTGCTTTCAGCAGGGAGTCTGTCAGTGGGAAGGATGCTTATTTTACCTGAGGTCAAATGGCTGCGCATCAAATAGGAAGCAAGGTGCATGCACCTCCATCCCCAGCCTGGCGTTGGAAACCTGTGGCTGGGCACCAGATAATGGCTGCTAGAGAATGGCACCAAGGCAAGGAAGAGCTTGTGCAGACCACCTTGGTTTGGGCCATGTGGGCAATTCACCGATATATTCAGTGTCAGCAGCGAAACTTGTAACTGGGTGTGCTGGCGCACATGATGATATCTGTATAACGTAAAAAACTGATGCATAGTGTAGCGTAGTGAGCACTGTCACTCTGCTCTGTATTTGGCTCTGCATGCAGTCCTGTTATGGTAGGTGGGAAGAGTTTCTTGTGAATGTGTTTTCAGAATAGGGCTATAGTTTGTGACTGATACTGCTGTGAGAAATTGGTTCCCTGCAGACCTGCATGGCATGGCTGTGCCCCACGTGGCTGGGTTAGCTGTGTGCCAACATGGGCGCAGCTCTGACTCTTTGTGGACAAATTTCTGCCTGCTAAGAGTGTGTAATCATCAGCTATAAATTGAAACTTGTATGGCTCCTTTTAGTAAATGCAAAATTGAATTTTTTTTTTTTTGAACTACACAGCTTGCTTAGCTTCCAGATGGCAAACCAATATGAAGCAATGGAAGTGCAACATGGTTTTGTTATAATGGATATGTAAACGTGATATTTATTCACTGCAGTAGACTGCTGTGAACCATATTCCAGCAGTTGTGCAGACCACCTTGGTTTGGGCATGTGGGCAATTCACCGATATATTCAGTGTCCAGGCAGCGAGAACTTGTAAATGGGTGTGCTGGCGCACCCTTTGGTGTCAGAAAAAAGTCTATTTGTGCTTTAGAATTTGTGGTGTGGGTTTTGTGTTTTTTGGTTTTTTTTTACCCTAATGCTTTTTGAGTGTACTCTGAGCTTGTCTCCTTTCCTTCCCTCCCCCAAACCACAATATCAGTCTGAAAATGTCCTGATAAGGCAACTTAATATGAATGTCTCAAAATTCAGTTGATTCAGCTGCATTTGGGAGCTACGTGATGTACTTGGAAGTGTTCTTGTTCCTCTATTCTGGTGAGCACAGAAGGGTCCTTGCCATGGGGTTCCTTGCTCCAGCCTTGTCAGTCTCAGCTGAATCTTTGCATTTTCAGAGGTGAACACCCATGTCAAGGAGTTGTTATTCTTCCACTTCAGGCCACGGGGCAACACTTTCACTGTTTTGAATAAATGGGAACAGGCTGAGCAGCAGAAATCTGCTCCTCCCTTGCATGGCGTGCTAAAGGCACCTGCAGGACCAAGTTTGCTCTGGTTTCCATGAAGACCTGTGGGGATTACCACCAAGTTACCTGGAAGCCCGGTGTCATTTCTCTCCTTGTTTTTAAGCTGCTTTCCAAACAAACAAACAAACCAAAAAAAAAAAAAAAAACAAAAAAAAAACAGAAAGCCAGGTGACATCCTTGTTTTTGTTGGCAGCTGCTTGCGTCTCCTGCAATGGAAAGGCATGACACCTTCTCTTCTTTTGGCCACTGTATTTACTTGGCAGGATCTGAGACAAGGTATGGCTTACACATGGGGAACCACTGGCATCCAGCTCTCACACAGATGGTGTGAGATGCTTTGGGGCTGATACTGATGCTTCACGTCTGCCATAACTACTAAAGTCAACTGTAAAGCAAGAGAACCAAGTTACTGTTCTCAGCAAATTTGTAAACAAAGTGAACACTGAGCCCCTTGAACATTACTGGTGAGGCCACTTCCTAGAATAAGCAAGTGCTTTGACACAAATGGCTGCCACAGTTTTGTGAGGGCATATTAAAAGACTGTTAGATAACATGTACCTTTGCTTACAACTCTGGGCCTTCACCCTGACCTGGAACTGTGGCAACAACCAACCATGGGAGGGACAGGGATGAGGCTGTGAAACACCAAGGTGATAAATTCAGAGCAAGAAAAAAAATCTCCTTTGTATTTAATTAATAAATCTGTTCCTTTGTGTGAATTTTGACTACAAGGAAAAAAAATTTCACACTAAAAAGACTAAATATAGCCCAACAAGGTGTCCACCTGCAGCAGTTCAACAGGCTTTTCTCTTTTACACTTTTCTGTGGTCTAGTGTAGTATAAATAAATGCCATTGTTATGTACCCATGCAATAGATGAGGAACATGGGACACTGCTCCTGAGCATGCACGTAGCATGCGTGTGTGAGTGCAGCAAATGCCAGTGCTCCAGAGAGGGAGGTCTGGCCTAGCCGGGGGGGGAGGCATGGCTTTCTCAGCTTGTTGGGCTTGCTCAGCACAGGCTGGAAGGATAGCCAGGTTTCAAGGTACTGCTGCAAGTTACATTTCCAATAATTTCATTACATCTACCCTTCAGATTTTATGGAGCCATTTGCTCATTTTAGGCAAACGGAAAGAATTCCAATTTGCTGCTAGTTCTGTCCCAGAAGAAGAAATAAGGCAAAACTGGGAGAGGCATGGCTAGGATTATCCTTTGTTACATGAGAAGATCGTTTGTACTTCCAACTTGCTAGAGACTGTTATAGCTTACTGTGAAGGTAGAAATCTTTCCAGTGATTTAACAAGGATTATTTAATCACCCACTTAAATGCAGTTGTTCTGGCTGTATTCTGACAGTCCATGTGAAATATGCAGTATGAGGAGGAAAAACAAAACAAACAAACAAACAAAACAACAACAAAAACAGGACTGAACGATTTTGTGTTGCATTTCCAAAACACTTCTGAGAAGTGAAGTGAATTTGGTTACTGTTTTGCTCATGCTATGGCTCCACAGGGCAAAATCTTACCCAGAAGAGAAGTTTTGCAACACTGAAAAGAGAATCCTGTCCCTCCAAAGGACAAAGAACAGCTTTACCTGAGTGATTTATATGGTTCCCTTAAGCAGTGGTGAGCTGTGCTGAAACTGTTTGTGTCCCACGCCAGTGGCTTCAGCAGGTCAGCTTGCTGGCAGGAAACCGACTGATTCAGTGGCTGTGGGCTGGGTTTGGCCCTGTCAGTGCTTGAGCTGAATGGATAGGGAATGAGATTTTTAAAAGCTGAGCTCTGATCAGTAACCAACAGAGATGATTGTCAGAGAAAGGTGATGGACTGTTTGCAGATTTTGAAAATTTCTATCAGTGGTATGGCCAACCCTGTCCCTGACTTGGGCTGCTCCTGCAGTTGTGGATAATATCCATATAAAATGTTATCTTGCCATGTGCAGCTTCTGTTTTCCATGGTGTTGGTGTATGTTCAGTTTTAACATGATAGTGCACTAGTGTTGCCTGCCAACATCCAGAAGTAAATGAGGATTGATACTGCTCCAGTTACTCAAAACCTTCGTGTTTCTAGCAACTGAACTTGTGACCTCCAGCAGGCTGGCACTGACATACACATCAGGAACTTCAGTGTGTTGAATGGGCACATAAATATATTCTGGATCCACTGGTGATGTATCTTTCAACCACAGAGCTACTGAACAGCATTGTCATAAAGCCTTGTTCCTGCTTTGCTTTTTAACCATTCCTGACAGATGGATTTTAACATCCTGATCTCTCCTCAAAGAGATGGAGTAAATAAGTGATTCACTTTAAATATTGAAAAAGTACAGTTACCCTTGTCAAGAAGAATAAAATAGCTTTGTAACTTGTAAGAAGCTCACAACCTGCTTGCCACAGATCTTAGCTCTGCAGACATTGTGTGTAGGATGACAGGCAGGCAAGCCGTGCTCACCAGGGGATCAGATTTGCTCAGGGTTCATCAAGGCAGGATACTGCACGCTAACTAAAGCCCAAGATCTACAGGTCCACTCTGATGGGGAGCAGACACATGGGGCTGATCCTGGGACTAAAACTGCTTGCATGGGGAAACACACAGGGAGCTCCATGGTCACCATGTGAACTTGCACTGTGAGCCGAAGGCACACAGTGGAGGTTTGCAGTTGTTGGTGCCTGGAGGAGGCAAGTGCTTTCCAAACCAGTCTTACATGAGTGACGCTGACCACCACAGAATGAATTTTGATGCTGTCATCATCACTTGACAGTCATTTTCAAGTAAGAGCTCATGTCTCTGTAAGTGTGCTTTGTGAGATCTTTTTGCAGCCTGTGGGTGTGGAGCCCCACAGCTGCGAGCGAGGCTCAGTCCCTTGCCACAGTGAACAGTGGGACGGGCTTGACAGCTGATACCAAATTCTTCCTTTCTCGGTCCCTTTTGTTTGCCGTCACTGTTAAACATTAACTAAGTTCAGCACCTTACTTTTGTTCCAGCCTACTGCACAAATGACCAGTGCTGAGGAGACACGTGGCTCTCTTCCACTTGCAGGGTCACCTCTGCTGCATGGGAACCTGTACCTGGTGATGTTAAATCTGTGCTTCTTATAATTGCTTATTGGTGGACAAGGTCCAAGTGGCTTTTATTTACTCTTCCCTGTCAAATCTGTGGTGTATGAATATTAATGCCTTTCACTGAAATGCTGAGAACTTAGCTGTTTTCTAGGTTATGATGTGCAGAGCTCCTTAACTGGGCACAGGTGACGTTGTTAGGAAGCAAGTATGTAGCTGCACTGAGCAGAGGCTAAGCTGGCAATGTGGAAACTGTGGGTGCCTCCTACCTGCAGTTACTGAAGAAAAGAAAGAGTAGAGAAAGCATCAGAAAGAGTCTGCAAAAAGTTCTCAGGGGCAGTTTTGTGGCAGCCACCAGCTGCTCTTGACTCCTTGGTTCAGGAGCAGTGTTTGAGTGAAGCCTGTTGCTTTCTAGATGCGTTTGTGCTTAGCCAGTTAGCATTATGTGTGCTGCCCATCTGTATATTTTGCTGGGTTAAAGCTCCTTCTGAAAAAGGCTGCAAAGAAATGTATTTGATTAACTTAGTTTGCAATGTTCATGAGATTTATATATATGAGATAAAGTTTTAATGTGTTCTCTGTTTTGCAGATCTAACTCCCCCTTTCTGTCTTCCTCGTGGAGCAGAAGACTACTGTTATAGGCTCCACTTGCTTCTTGTTTTCCTAACCACACCATTAATGGCGTTGCTACAGCTGCAGTCATTCTAGTCTGCCATTTCCTTTGCTACCTGGTAAAACTTGCTGCACTGAAAAAGTAATACCTCCAATGTTAGTGGTGAGAGGAGTGTTTTGTGCTTGTTACATTGCCTGCAAGTGTCAGAATCTCTGCTATGAGAAATACCCTGTTATAGTCAACTTACTTTAAATCAAGCTTTAGTATGGCAACATATTAAAGAAAATTTCCATTTCTTGCACCAAATGCTCATACACACAATTTAAACTTCAATCTTGGTCCACGGTTCTTCCAGTAAATACCTGGGCACACCCCATCTTATAAAGTACTAATGGATTACAGCTGGAATAGCAGATTAAAAGGAAGTTAGAACACCTGCCTCTGATCACCATAAAAACATCAGCAAAACCTTTTCCTCACATTACTGATGGTTTGCTAACTGCATGGAAAGGATCTGTAACAGGTATTAATTAGAGTGGAATGTTTGCTAATTGCTTGTGCTTTAAAATAAATACTAATATATCCGAGGAAGTGAAAGAAAAGCCATGGCAGTTAATTTCAATGGATCCTGTTAGTTTAGTGGGGAATCTGATCTTAACCAGTGTTTGAGATTGTTTAGTAACAGATTTATAATTTACATGAAAATGAGCTATATGGTGTGTTTTTTGTTGTTGTTGTTCCCCCCCTTAAGCAAAGCCCTCCCCCTGTACTAGTTTTGTTTGTGAACTATCTCATGGCCTGTCTGCCTAACCTCTGTTGTCTTACCCACCCCTTGCAACACCTGTTTGTTTGTTTGTTTGTTTTCCAGTTTTGCAACAAGATTTAAAGCACCTTTTCCCCGCTCCATGTTATGGTAAAAATACTTTTCTTGGAGGTTCATAAGAGAGAACCAGATGGAAAAATAAACAACAATTTATTTTAAGGAGTGTTTTAGGCAATAAAAAATATATTTCACTGCATTGATTGCTTTTTTTCTGAAGGCTAGATTTCTTTAGCCCTCAAATACATAAACAAGTTGTTGTAAACTTTTTTTTTAAATTTAAAATAACATGTATTCATTTTGTCATTGCATTTCAATACTTGTCATTTCTCGAATTTGATTTCTGTAATATTATAGCAGCAAATTATCTTCAATTCGAAGCTTGTGGTAGCAGGATCAATATTCCCCCTCCCCCCCTTTTTTTCCTAGTTTATGTTACTCTATATTAAGAAAGTATTATTTCTATGCCTCCATTTAAAGTAGGAACGGACATGTTGGATTCCATGAATTTCCAACAACTAAAGGAAGTAGAACTTGAAGGTAAGCGCCAAATAATTTCATCATATAACTGCAGAAATGTTCATGTATGACTATATCTTACAATTTTGAATGGCTGAGGATTCAGTATATTTCATACAGATAAACAAGCTTTATTTGTCTTTTGCAGATTTCCATAGGTATTAACATTATTTTCTGAAGGATTAAACTTCCTTTTTTTTAGAAGAAATTGGTAAAATTGTGTGCAATGTGTTTTCTGATACAGAATTATGAAAATAAGGTATATAAAATAATGTGTTACTCAATGAGCTTACTTGCCATTTTTTCCGATTTACAGTCATGTTTGTAGCTGTTATGTTTACGAATACAGCATGTCATGCTTTTTGTTGTAACTTTCCCTCTTTGCATGTATTTACACTGGAAGTCAGAACATGCAACAGTCAGACTGTTCTAATTTTAAGACTACATCATAAACTTTTAGCGCAAAAGAAAGAAATATAAGTAATTTTCAGTCAATTCAAGTATCTTCTTATCTCTATTTAAATTGCAACCAGGAAATACTAGCTCAATCCACATAAGAAATTTCTAATTGCTGGAAAATATTTTAAAAACCCCTTCAGGTATAGGTTTTAAAAACAAAATTTCATGGGGACAAACTTCAGATTTCAGCAAACAGTCAGAGCTGACAAAATGAAATATAGGCCATAATTCTGAAAATTGTGCCTGATGAGGAAAAATAACTGAGCGTTTGTTACACAGTCTTCAAATTCAAATCAAATATTATCTGCAATGACTTTTTCATTATTATGTAGTATTTGTGTTGGACAGTTAGCAAAAGCAGACGCTTATTTTCACTTAGCATTAAATTGTAGATAACGGTGTCTTCTGAAGTTAATGTTAACTTCAGAAAATAATGAGACTATGAAAATTTAAGCTAACGTTTTTTTATTATTATTTTTTAAATATTCATATGCCAGTCTTAGTGATGTCCTGGGGTAATCACTGCTTGAAAATAACCAAATGAATAATGGATTATACATTTCTCACTGCTTACTCATTTCTACTGTGCAGTAGCAAAAAACAATCAGAAACTTTTGGCTGTTTCAAAGGTTTTGACATGCCAGTGTCCCCACAGAAATAACTTTCCCATCTCAACCAAACTATTATTTTCTCAGCTGAAAGAGGAGCTGATGTTCTGGCAGGTAACAGAGCTTCTGTGGGTGCACAGAATGCTTCAGGTGGAGCAGGACCAGCTTCAGGTTGGGATCTGGCTGCCCTGCACTGGGTCCCGCTGTGGCTGGGGGATGTCTCTGAGAATGGCCCCTCCAGGCGCTGTTCCAGCCGATGGCCAGAACGAGGAAGGGCTTTTTCCCTTTGGGAGTGTTGGGATTTCCCATGTTGCAGCCTCCGGTGCTACCTCTGCATTTCTGCCAGTGCCAGAGGAGCCTGGCTCTACCTTCAGGACCTCCTGGTACTGGGATGTCTACCAAGACGTGCCACTCAGTTGTGGATGACTCACATGGAGAAAAGAAAGAGAACCTGTTCGGTGGCTGTGATTAAATGATCTATGGAGAGGCTGTGGATAATTCTGTGGCATGTCTTTGATTCATGACAAAGAAATCTGTCATTTGCCATATGCTCACATTTTGTAGCAATAACATTTTTTCCCAAGAGTCTCAGATCTCAGGAACTGTATCAGAAATACTTTAAAGACTTTTTCTATTTGTGGTTTTTTTTTGTTTTTTTTTTTTTTTAATTTTTAAGAATTAGTATCAGTAACTAAAATTTCTGCAGAAACAACACTAAAACCTAGTGGCAGTGATTGTTACTCTTTTGTTGACCACTGCAAAAATTTCAGTGGCTGACAATTATTTATTTATTTATTTATTTTGCTCAGAAATTCTGCACAAAGGACTTGATCCCAATCAATGAAGTAACTTATGAAGATGAATGCCTTTCTGCAAAGACAACTCAGACTTAGCTCTGCTGGGTGAGTGAATGCTCTTAGAGATGCTCCTGTCTCTTTTGCCTCTCTGCCTAATTTTCCCCTGCCCCAGGGAGCTGCCCTGCGTGGTGCTTACAGATTGCTACCCTAAACCTGTGGGTGCTCAGATGTCATGGAAATTCAGTTTGTGTCTGTCATTAACAAGTATTTCTGTGAGTTTCCTTTTGGGGATGCTGTTTCAGAGAAAAAAAATAAAGGGGGGGGGAGGGGGGTGGGTGCACAATGAAAGACAGTGCTCGTGTGTCTGGTATTGCATTTTGACAGCATAGTCTGAAACTTGGGACTGTAACTGGTTTTTATACAATGCTTGCAATTTAATAGCCTAAGGAATATTAAAAAAAAAAATCAGAAAAATAATCTTGGGAGTTTTCTAACTGATTTTATTAAAGACTTTCTATTTGCTTGAATTTATATGGAAAATGGATTTTAATCAAAAAAGACTAACTAGCAAGACCATAGCATTGCCTTGAAAGGTTTGACTCATTCTTATCCATACTTAGGCTGGAAATGAATGATTTTAAAGGAGTGTACAAAAGTAACAAAACCATCCCTTTGCCCAGGAAAACAAGGGTTTCCCTAAACTCTGAGGAGGGTGGGAAATGAAACTGAGATTATCCAGACACTGCAGCCTGTCATGCCTGTCACCAGGGTGTTTAGCCACTGGGGCTATTCTATTCACTGCTATTCTTGATAGCCTCCTCTTCTTCTTCTTACCTAATGCAGACAGAATTCAATGAGCAAACCATACAAAACAAAGTTCTGGCATTTACAATAACTTGAAAAAATAATACATCAAAAACAGCTTTTGGAGGCATATTTTCAATGTACTTCCACCTGAGGCATTGCTTACTTGAGGACAAACGGGACCCTTGATTAGATTTGAGTGAAGTTCTGGTAGTTCCAGTATACGCAGTACCCTGTATCGCTTACACTGCCCCATTGTGAAGTGTGGGTTATGGCTCTGATTTTCCTTCCCTTTCCTCCATATAGATGTATCTCAGTGGCTATTTTAATTTATTTAAAAATCAGGCAAAAGAGACGAGAATGATTTACTGATGTAAAGCGTATGTATTTTACATTTTGCTTTGCAATGCACTCTACTGACAGAATCTGGAAGTAGTTCTGCTGTTGCCCTGTGTCTTATTTTCTGGTACTTTTTCTGATACTTGTACTTAAAAAAAAAAAAAAAAAAAAAAGGCAACAAAGCAGATTTTTTTTAATTCTGTGTTTTTCCTAGATTTGCTGTATCTTTTTGAAATGCAAATCTCAATATGAATCATCACAGTCGTAGAGGTACTAGTGCTAACTATTTGGGCTAGTTATCTTCCTTCTGTCCTTCAGAGCAGCCATGGGTTTCTCATTGCTATAAACACAGCAAACTCAAATTTAATTTTAAAACTCTATTTCCTCAGGTTGGAAGCATGTTTCATTCTAGAAAACCATCTATCTTGTTTCTTTCTTTAATTTTTATCTCTAGATTTACATGGCTTTCTGTTTTAGAATTGCATATCCAAGACTTGAACAAGGAATTCAAGGTATTTATTGAATTTGAACTTTGTAGAGATTCTCTCAACCCCAGTTAAAATCCTGGTACACTTATTTAACATGCTTCCTGATTTTAAAAACTTGTTTTAGCTCTGACTAGAATAGTAGCTAATGCAGTCAGCTGCTGCTTTTGGAGCGGGCTCTCTGTCTTCCTTGTTTCTTATGGCCTCAGAAGGCAGTCCAAGGTAAATTAAGGGGATGTGATTATTAGGGCTTCTGAAAGATTCAGTAGTCACCAATGAAAATGTATAATAAAAAGAACCAAGCTACACCAACAAGTGAAGTCCCTGAAAAAGCCCAGAGGCAAAATGGCTATAATTAAAACCTGAAAGCAATGAGTTCATAAAGAAGTAAACGAAGAGGAGGGCTCTCTGTAAATGATGATCTAAAAAGTGTTCTGGGTTGTGAGACCTCATTTCAAATGTATTCATTAAATAATATTTGAATCATTTAACAGTTTGAACTCTACTGCACTGTTAATATCTTCAGGGGATTTTTTTTTTTCAGTTACAAAGAAGTCTTTGTTCCTAGTCTATGCTTGGGCTGTGCCTTGGATATTAGTTGGAAACCTGATAGCCTGACATTGCTCGAAGTCTGTGAGTACAATGTGAGTCGTCTGCAACTGGGATTAAAACAGGCCTTTTGTACCAAGATGCTGAGAGGCCACGTGATCTTGGAAAAGCAATGGTTTTGGATGGCAGGAGATGTTTAACCCTTTGTGCTTGTGGCAGGGAGCCAGGCGTGTTGCTGCGGGAAGTAGAACCCGAGTGTTTGTAGGGGAGGAGGTGGCCCAGGGGTAGCCAGGGCCCATACTGCTGCGTGTATGGGTTGTTAGAATACTTGAGTAGTTCCTGTCAAATTAGCAAATAATGCCTTGTACAGAGAGCATGCGGGCATATCCCCCAGCTCCTGTCCCTGCCTCGCTGCCCAGCTTGTGCTTGCTCCCTTTGGAACAGGTCCCAGAAACAGAATTGCAGGGGTTGGAAGGGACCTCCAGAGATCATTGGGTCCAACCCCCCGTCAGAGCAGGTTGCCCAGGTAGGCGTCCAGATGGGCCTTGAATATCTCCAGAGAAGGAGACTCCACAACCTCCCTGGGCAGCCTGTCCCAGTGCTCCGTCACCCTCACCGTGAAGAAGTTCTTGCACATGTTGGTGCGGAACTGCCTGGGCTCCATTTTGTGGCCGTTGCCCCTTGTCCTGTCCCCACAGACCACTGAAAAGAGGTTGGCCGTATCTCTTTCTCCCACAATTAAGATATTTATAAACATTGATAAGATCCCCTCTGTCTTCTTTTCTCAAAGCTGAACAGACCCAGGTGTCTCAGCCTTTCCCAGGTCCCCATGATATGCTGTAGGTGTGCTTTTAAAACTGGACAAGTCAGGGCTATGAACCAATGTTCAACAATGGCTCAGAAAGATGAGCTGTTCTGTAAAAATTCCTGAAGTAACGTTATAAATAATAAATACAGAATTATTTTTATTTGCCTAGTGATTTTTTAATTCTGGGCAATATGTTCTCAGGCTTTGCTCTGTACCACAGAAACTGCAGCTTGATTTTCAGTCAAGACTGGGTTTTTGGGACCCTTGCACAAGTAGTGCTCTGAACAAGAGTTTTACCAAAGACCTCCAAATGCTGGCAGTGGGAACGTATTTGCTGTGTTAAATGGACATAGATGACAGTGAAAAGTGAAGGATCCTCAGACATGCAGCCCTGTGGGGGATACCCAGGAAAGGCTGGTGCAGGGTGAGTTCCTGCAAAACAGCAACATCTAAAAATGCATGTGATAACCTGTGCTGCTCCCCCAGAGCAGTACAGCTCTGTGTGGGCAGAAAGGCTTGCTTTTGCAAGTGACAGAAGAACTTGCAGACACAGCGTGTAAAACATCACCTGATTTCAACATGTGAAAAGGAAGCGCCAAGGTGTATGCTGTTGTGAACCTAACGCTTAGAGAAAATTAAGTCATCAAGGCTTTCCAGGATAGCCTCTGGTTTTCTCCTTTCACAATAGTTCAATTTATAAGATGATGAAAAATGAATTACCTTTAGTGGTTTTCTGGCATTTCCCACAGTGAAAGCTAGGCTTCTGAGATACTCAGAGATTGTTCCTGCTCCACCAAGTTTACATAAAGTCCCACCTGGTTCAAGTTTAAGAAAACAGCAGAACAAAGTCAGTCATATAAACTTAATAATAAAATACTGAGGGGAGTTAAATACTGATTATCCGTATAGAGAAGTACTATTTTTTTATTGATGTTTCTCTGAGTTATTCTAGGAAATAGAAAACTTCTACAGTTCCTGCAGCCAAACTAATTCTTTTGTGTTGTTTATATGATTCAATTCCTTTTTTCTTTTTCATCACAATCAAAAGTGAAACCTAATAATGAGCATTTTAGAGATGGAAAAAAAAAAAAAAAGAGGTATATTGTAGTCTGATTATTGTAGATGGGAAGGTTTGCTTCACCATTTCCCAGAATTTTTGAGACTAAATATACAATCTCAATGTTGTATTTTAATCATCCAATTTTTTCATGATCTATGTTGGAAAAATTGAAATTAATGCAACAGGTATGTCTAAGTGCTCTATATGACTTACAGATTTTTCACTGAGCTGACATCAGTGGGACCCAGCAGATAATTAATGCAAAAAGCTGTTTGTACCAATGGAAACCCATACTGATATTGTGGAAAATATAGTAATCCTTACTGAGGTATTTGAGAAAATATACACCTTAAAGTTGCAGAGATTTTATTTTTAAAGTAAACCACCCTACCTTGCAGAAGAAACAAACAAAAAAATCTTTGTGGAGGGCTGAGTTATGAAATCTTTGCAAATCTCTGCTGAAAATATTTCAGTAACTTTTATTATTCAGTTAGGCATTTTTTTGAAATGGGAAGTAGTCAATTTAGTACTGCAGAAATCAAGTGTCTTGAGGAATTTGGTTCAAACTTTAAAGAAAACATTGTTGGCAAAACTAAGCATGAAATATTTACATCTGTAAGATGAACTTTTCAGAAACTGAATGCAAATGAAGCTTTACAGATGAAATTGTCTTTTACCTCCATTACAAGAGCATGGGGATCTGCACCCCTCTCAAAAAGGAGCCTTTCCTTACCCACAGCTCGTTCCAGTTCTCGGGCATTAGAGGAGGCACGCACCAAGAAGTATGGTCTCCTCTTGAGGAGTAAATTTTCTCCTTATTCTGCTCTGCGTTTGCTGCAGTACTGAGCTCATCTAATGACTTCACACATTTGCCTTCTGAGTTGTTCTAGTCACTGAGTTCACTTTGATTTTGAGGTAGAGGGGGTGTCATAGTTTCCTTAAGTATTCCAGGGAGAAGCACTGAAAACTTTCCTGGTAATGTCAGCCACCAGACTTAGAAACCTGTCCTTCAAAATGTTCAAATTCCTTTTATTGCATATCCCTGCAAGGGTGGAAATCACTGCCTGGAAAAATGTCTCAGCTTTTTTGCAAAGTAACTCTTGGGAGCCTGTACTCTAAAGACAGGACTCATCACTTCGGATGGTACATGACATGTAGCAGCAACCAAATGCTTTTTTGTTGTTCCAGATGGCTGCACTACCAAACACTGTAGAGGTTATTTAGTAGCTAAAATTTGTACACCTGAAGCCTTAAATATTAATGAAGGGTATCTTTATAGAGCTGGGGGTGTAAACACCATGGAAAAGTAAGATGTGGTTTTGCTTGATGGAACAGCTTAAAAGATTTCTTGCTAATGGCTAGCTGGGCTAATTTTTTTTTTTTTTTTTTCTCCTAGCATATGGGCTTGTTTTGTACAGTTTATGTGGTGGTTTTTCGTTAGATTCTCAGTGGTAATGAGCCCACACAGTTGATTGCTGCAGGGAGAAAAAAATCATTCTGAATAGGTTTGCTGAATAATTATGAACTGAGCTGAACTCTTACATTTGCTTACTAATTGTATGGTTCGTGATGTTTTATGTATGATGCATTCATTTTATTAAAAAGGATTTTCTTATTTTTTTTTTTTTTTTTTTTTTTGCTGAGCAGCAACTTTTCTCAGTGCAAGTTAAACTGGCACAGTGGAAAGAGCTGAATTCAAGTCTGATGAATTGATGTTTGAATTATTTAAAAAAAAAAATCAACCCCACTATTTCGTTTTCAGAGCTTGCAATATGAAACCCAAAATTGTGCTATTGTCTTGAGAGTTGAAATAAATGAATCCCCTCAATTTTGGATTTGGCAGGAGCAATTACTATTGTTAACTTAGAAAATAATCTCCTGCAGCTAAAACTATTTAAATAATGCCTTTCCCTGCTTCCCTCAAAATGACCAAAACCCAAAGATTGAAAGTAAAAAAAAAAAAAAAAAAAAAAAAAAAAGTACTTTTCACTATTTGGTACATCTTCTCATGAAAGGCTTCCTCCCTCCTTGGTGTAGCGGCTGTGGCACTTTGTGACTGACCTGTTCCTGACTGTGATGGTAACAGTCTGGGGGAAATCTACCACGCTCCCCAGCATCGTGCTGGAAAGCCATGGTGTATGCGGCGCAGTTGTCAGCTTCTGGCTGTGTTTTGCTCAGGATATGTTCCAAGTTAGAAACCAGGCTGAGCCGCCTTCTGACATTTAGCAAATAGTAAATGTTTATACCAAGAGCCTGTATAACACTATAGCTGGTACAGTACCTTACCATTTCAATCAGCTCACTGTTTTTACTGTCAAAATATTTAGGCTGATATTATTTCCATATTTGTCATCAGACAGTTATACAATACTCCCAAGCTGCAGCCAGATGCAGGGAGTGCTTCCTGTGAGTTACTGTGCTGAAACTTTCGGTGTTGAAATTTGCTCCTAGAAGATGCTGATGTTAGGCCAGAAGGAGGTGAGCAAAAAAGCCTTCTGGTACAGCAGGCTGCGGAAGGAGCGAGCAAGCAGTTGGCCATTGCTTGCCGACTCAAGTGGCCAGCCCAGCTGATGTGGCCTGGCAGGGACACTTATGCTGCTTGGCACAGACAAGAGAGGACGGGAAACAAGCACCAGCGCTTGTCCAGAAGCATTCAAGATGGCCAGCCCATGGACCAAGGAAGTCTCCATCCCGCTGCTGTGTTCTCCTTTACAGCATCATTCTGCTCTTCCATAGAGAGACAGTGCTTCCTCCGCCTGAAAAACAAATGGACGCTGCATCTTCCAGGAAATGCAAGGTGAGTCTTCTGAATCAGTAAAAATGTGTTGTTTCTGAAGGATTTGGGCTCTTAGGTGGAAGCCAATATACATAAATAATTGCAGGAAGCATCTGTGAGAATACCCTCTTAAAAGCAGGACCCTCTGATTTGGAGAAGAGATGTAATTTTGCAGAGGCCTGAGGTCCTTTTACACCAGCAACAGTAATTCTTCACAGCAGAAATCTATCTGCCTTACTGGAGTAAGTTCCTTTCACAGCAGCTGTCACACAACTTTCATCGTATCTCTGGCGCAGAGAGAGCAGGCTATTTCCCCAGAGATCTAGCTATACATAAATGCAACAACAGAGGGTCGGCTGTGATACAAAGGGTCAGCTACAAATGAAACCCAAGATGATTACAATAGTAATTAATTTTCAAGAATGTTCCTGCCATACATTGTCCAACTGGCATGTGGTATCTAAAGTGGAACATATCTTTTTATGCCATCCCACCACGAACACACAACAAGATAAGGATTGCAGCTAAGCTAGAAGCAGTGTTACTTCTCTGAGGACACTTTGCTTGCTGACCTGTTGCAGCAAGGGCTGATCAGGTCCTTACCCATGTCAAAGATTTGCCAGTGCGAGAGCTTCAGTGCTGTTGTGTGACTGTACCAGGAGGAGTGGCATTAAAAATCCAATATTGTTTTTGTTTACCATCTTCTTCCTTGTTTTGTTGCACTTAAAGTTTTGATTGGCACTCTTAAAATTAATTCAGCTTTTTTTCTTCTCCCCCACCCCCTTTTTATTTATTTATTTTTTTATACAGGGCCATGAACTCCAGTCCTGCTGCCCGCGGCACCTGCACCCAGGGGAACCACCGTGCTTTTGGCACTGCGAGCCTGCTGCTTGTGCTGATGGAGAGGCACACGGCAACACGCCAACTGCGCTGCCTGGAAGGGTAACGCAGGGAAAGATCTCGCCCGCTGCAAGAACCTATTTAGCTGGGGCACGGTGCAGCCTCTACTGCAGTCAGCAGAAGTCGTTCGTGCGTGGGCCGGGTGGCTGGGGGAGAGCTGAGAGGGGCCTCGGCTCAGACGGGCCCCGTGGCGCTGAGCCCCAGCTCCCAAGCGGAGCCCTGCGAGCGCTGCGGCCCCCGCCTCTTGTCGGCACCACCGAGCCGCCCGCGGCAGCCGCCCTCCCCCTCGCCGCAGCAGAACGCGGAGCGGGACGAGGCCCGGGGGAACCCGTCCCGAGCACGCACCCCGGCGCCCGGCTCCGCGGGGCCGCTGCGGGCGGGGGGCGCCGGGGCCCGGCAGCCGCGGTGCTGCTCCCCCCCCCCTCCCCCGACGGCCGGGGCTGCGCGCGGGGCGGGCGGGCGGCAGGGGGCGCTGTGCCCGTTCGGAACGGCCGCTCCGACGGCGCGCACGCAGGCGCAGAGGGAGGCGCGGCGGCGGCGGGCGGCAGCGCGGAGCCCCGGGAGCGCGGGGCCGGGCCGAGGCGCTGGGGGGGTTGGGGGCGGAGGGGGGGGGCGCGGGGCCGCAGCGCTGCCGGGAGGCGCGGCCGCGGGCCCGAACCGGCGGCTGCGGGGACACGGGCCCGGGGGAACGGCGGCTCCCCTTTGTCACCGCCTTCCCGCTGCGGACGGGAGTCGCTTTCTGCTCCTTTGTGCCGCCCTCAGGCTGCGCGGCTCCTGCTTCTTGCCCTGGACCCAGCCCGGCCCCGCAGCCCCCCTCTCCCTTGTCACTTTGCTAAGTAATAATTTCCACGTCCAATTCCATTTCTCTTCTAGTTCTGAAATCTCCAAGCCATCAGCAAGGAGGATAGTTCACATGAAAACTAATTACACAAAATCAATATTTAATCACAGCGCAGCATCCTGATCCTGCAGGAAAAAAAAAAAAAAAAGAAAAAAAAACCTTCAAACTCTCCTGCCACATACAAATACTTCTCGGCCGCACACTTACAGATCTCTCTTTATATTTATTTATTATTTGTGTGTGTGGAGCATTTTTTTTTTTTAAGCTATTGACACGTGCGAGCTGCGACCACCTCAAGCGCCTCGCCCTGCCGGCTGTTCCCAGCCCCCCGGCGCTATCGGGCATTTATTTCCCCCGGGGATGCCGCGCTCTGACTCCCCCGCTCCCGCGGTTGCGGGCAGGGCTCCGGGCGGCCCCGCTGCCTCGCCGGGCGCTGGCCGCGGCCGACCCCGACGGGGCGCCGCGCTCGGGCTCTGCGCCGGCCTCGCTGGGGCGGCCTCGGGCCGAGCCGCTCCTTGTGCCGGCTCGCCGCACCGGGCGGCCTTCGGCGCCGCGCTCGGAGCAGCGGGACACGCCGCGGCCGGCGAGCGGCGGAGACCCCGAGCCCCGCCGCTCGGATCCGGACACCGCGCCCCGCTCCCCGCCGCGCTTCCCCGGCCGCGCTCCGGGGCTCCTGTCCGCCGGCTCGGCCGGGCCCAGGCGGCCGGGCAGGGCCGGTCCGGTCCGGGCCCCGGGGGGCTCCGCGGGGGCTCCCCCGGCCGCCCGCGTCCCCCCGCGCCGCGGGAGCAGCGGCGGCGCCGGCCCGGGGCAGCGGCCGGAGCGCGCCGAGGGGGCGGGCGGGGCGCGGGGCCGGGCGCTCGGCGGAGCCACCTTAACGGCGAGCCCCGCCCCGGGCCGCGCGGCGCTCATTGGCGCAGCCCCGATGGCTGAAATTCATCGCTGAAATGCAAAACTTGTTGCTGCTCCGCCAGCGCCGGCTGAGAGCGGGGGAGCGCGCGCGAGGGGAGCGCCGCGGAGCCCTCCCAGCGCCCGCCCGCAGCCCCGGCCCCGGCCCCGCCGCCCCGCCGCCGCCGGAGCCCGGCGAGCCGCCGGCCGCGGGCAGCGAGCGGCGAGCGCCCGGCGGGCCGGCGATGCGGCGCGCAGCTGCCGGGCGCCGGAGCCTATGAGCGGCGCCGCGCCGCCCCGTCGGCTCTCGGGCAGCGCAGCGCGGCCGGCGCCGGGCGGCAGCGAGCGGCGAGCCGCCGGGGGTGAGCGCGGGCGGGCGGCGCGGCACGATGTGAGCGGGGCCGCCGAGCCGCGGCGGCCGGAGCGGAGGGCAGCGGGACGGCGGAGCCGCGCGGGCGGCCATGCCCTTCTGAGCCGCGCAGGATGTTCGGGCTGGAGCAGTTCGAGCCGCAGATGAGCAGCCGGAGCGCCGGGCAGGGGGAGCGGGGCTTCGGCCAGCCCGGACTGAGCATGAGCGCGCACTTCAAGGCGCCGGCCTTCCCCGGCGGCGGCCCGGCGGCGGCGGCGGCGGTGGACCCGGCCCTGGGCGCGCTGGGCGAGCCGCCCCTCCTGGGCATGAACATGAGCCTGGCGGCGACGCGTACGGCTTCCCGGGCCGCGGCCCCGCCGAGCTGCACGGCGGCGGCATGCAGCCCCCGGTGCACAGGCTTCTTCGGCGGGCAGCAGCCGCACGGCGGCCACGGCGGCGCCCACCACCCCCACCAGCACCACCCGCACTTCGGCGGCAACTTCGGGCCCGACCCCGGCGCCTCCTGCGTGCACGGCGGCCGGCTCCTGGGCTACAGCGGCGCGCTGGGCGGGCAGACGGCGTTCGCCGACGGCTACGAGCACATGGCCGAGAGCCAGGGCGCCGAGGGCTTCGGACAGCAGCGCCCCGGGAACCTGCCCGACTTCCAGCACCACAGCGCCGGCGCCTCCAGCCACGCCGTGCCGGCGCCCTGCCTGCCCCTCGACCAGTCCCCGAACCGCGCCGCCTCCTTCCACGGGCTGCCGGCGGCCGGCTCCTCCGAGCCCCACGGCCTGGAGCAGCGGCGGCTCCCCGCGCAGGGCGGCGTGGACTCTCTGGAATACAATTACCCCGGCGACGGCCCCGCCGGGCACTTCGAGCTGCCCGTCTTCTCCCCGTCGGAGCCCGAGGGGCAGCTGCCGCACTATGGAGGCGGGCGGCAGGTGCCGGCGGGCGGCAGCTACGCGGGGACACCCTCCCTGCCCCGGCCGCCGGGCATGGCCGTGGCCAAGGCGCACCCGCCGCAGCAGCACGGCGTCTTCTTCGAGCGCTTTGGGGGGGCGCGGAAGATGTCCGCCAGCCTGGAGCCGGGGGCCAGCACCAGGCACCCGTTGATGCAGCAGCAGCAGCAGCAGCCGCCGCAGCCGCAGCAGCCGCCGGGCTTGCTGGCCAGACAGAACTCCTGCCCGCCAGCCATCCCTAGGCAACAGCAAACAGAAGCCAATGCTCCCAACCCCAACTTGCAGGACAATGGGCCAATAATGCAGAACCAGCATGCACAGTTTGAATACCCTATTCACAGACTGGAGAACAGGAATATGCATCCCTACACCGACCCCGTGTTTAATATGCAGCACCCTCCTCCACAACAGCCACCAAATCAAAGACTGCAGCACTTCGATGCCCCCTACGTGAGCGTCGCCAAGAGGCCGCGGTTCGACTTCCCCAGCAACCCCGGCGTCGAGCGCTGCGCCTCCTGGGGCGGCAGCATGCACGGCCCCGCCATGGAGAGCCACCTCTCCCCGTCGGCCTACCCCGGCCTGCCGGGCGAGTTCACCCCGCCGGCGCCAGAGGCCTTCGGGGGGCCACTGCCACACGGTGGCCCCGAGCACCCGGCGCTGGCGCAGCGCCAGAACGCAGCCCTGGTGATGAAGCAGATGGCCTCGCGCAGCCAGCAGCGCCTGCGGCCACCCAGCCTGCAGCAGCTGGGGCACCACGGTGAGGTGGGCCCGCCCGGCGGCCTGCCCCCGCCGGCCTTCGAGCGCGAGGCCGGCAGCGGCCGTGGCTTTGACCCGCCGGCGCCGCACCTGGCCCCTGACGGCGCCTGGTTTGCGGGGCCGCCGCCACCTGGGGAGCTGCTCCCGCGGCGCATGGCAGCGCCAGGGCTGCCGGCCGAAGCGGCCCCCCATGAGCTGGGCCTGCAGCCGGGCGGTGCGGCTGTGCTCTTCCGTCCGGGTGCTGGCGGGCTGGGGCTGCAAGAGCCGCTGCGGATGGCAGGCGAGGGGCCGGCGCAGGCCCTGCCCTCACCTGGTGTCCACCCGCCCTTCGCGCCTGCCATGGGCGGCCTCTCGCAGCTGCAGTCGCCGGGCGGTGGCGTGTCGCTGCCCAACGCCCCTGCTGAGCGCCGTGGCCCTGCCGACTTTGCCGCCCAGCCAGGCTTCCCCTTCGGGGCAGCCGCACGGCAGCCAGCGGCCCACGGTGCTGCGCCCGCCCTCAGCGCCTCGCCGGGTGCCTATCCGCCACCCCCGCCTGAGTTCCCCCCGCCGCCGCCACCGCGGCCTGCCGCCAGCAAGCTGGGCGCCCTCTCGCTGGGCTCCTTCAGCAAGCCGGCCAGCAAGGACAACGTCTTCGGGCAGAGCTGCCTGGCCGCCCTCTCCACCGCCTGTCAGAACATGATCGCCAGCCTGGGCGCCCCCAACCTCAACGTCACCTTCAACAAGAAGAGCCCGGCTGAGGCCAAGCGCAAGCTCAGCCAGGCTGAGCCTGACCCGCCGCCGTCAGCTGCCCCGGACTACTTCCCAGCAGGACCGCCGGCAGGCGGGGGCAGCGCGGGCAAGGCGGCGGGCGCTGCCCCGCTGCTGCCTGCCGAGAGCAGCCTCTCGCCCGGCTACGCGCTGGAGCCGGCGGCCAGCGGCGAGGGGAAGGCGGGCGGCGGGCGGGGGCGGGGCCGCCGGAAACGGGACAGCGGGCACGTCAGCCCCGGCACCTTCTTCGAGAAGTTCTCGGCCACAGAGGGCAGCGGGGCTGGCGTCAGCCCGGGGCAGCCGGCGCCGCCAGCTGCGGGGGCCCCGCCAGGGGCTGCAGGCACGGAGCGTGGAGGGGGCACCCCGCATGACAAGCCCCTGACCTCACCCTCCTGGGGCAAGGGCGGCGAGCTTCTGCTGGGGGAGCAGCCCGACCTCATGTCGTCGCTGGACAGTGGTATCCAGAGCGTGACCAAGTCAGACGGCAGCTCCCCGCACGTGGACTTTCCTGACGAGGTCAGCACCAGCTACGGCAACGAGGACGAGGTGTCCTCCAGCTCCGACAACACCGTCTCCAAGCCCACCCGCAGCCCGCTGCTGGGCGGCTCGCCCAAGCTGCCCCGCGGGGAGCACGCACTTCTCAACGGACAGAAGCCCCTGGCCCTCGGCCTCCTCAATACATCTACCTCGACCCCTGACAGCTACGGGCTCAGCACCACAGCGGGCGCCCACCCTGGCACGCCGGGCATGGAGCAGGTGCGGACCCCCACGAGCACCTCAGCCCAGGATGAGATCCACCCTCTGGAGATCCTGCAGGCGCAGATCCAGCTCCAGCGGCAGCAGTTCAGCATCTCGGAAGACCAGCCCTTGGGGCTGAAGAGCAAAAAGGGGGAGTGCGCAGGGCAGAACGGGGACAGTGACCTGAGCAGTTGTTGCTCAGAGGGCGTTAAGGGTGCCATGAGCACCATTGACCTGGACTCCCTGATGGCGGAGCACAACTCCACCTGGTACCTGCCCGGCGAGAAGGCCCTGATGGAGGGGCAGGAGGAGGACAAGCCCATGGTGCCGTGGGAGAAGCCCAAGCCCCCGAACCCCAGCAAAGAAGGTATCTGTTGCCCTGCGCGGGTTCCCACGGGGAGAGACCCTGGGCTGCTCTCAGGGCAGGGGAGGTGGTGGGGCTCTGAACCCTGGACACGGGGCACACGCTGGCCCCAGACCCACTCTGCCCCTTGCGGGAGCCGGGGCTGGTGCCGGGCACTTTCTGGCACCACGGCTACCGGATAGCGGTGCTGGGGGCAGCTGATGGAGGGGACAAAGCGCCTGCTGCCCCGTGGGGACCGGCCAGCGCTGAGCGTGGTGGGACTGCCTGCCCCTCGGGTGACGGCCCTGAGCGCGGTGTCCTCTGCCGCCTGCTCTGTCCCCACTGGCTGCCTGGCATGCCCGGGGGCGCTGGGGAGAGGGGCTCACGGCAGAGCCCCGTCATGGTGCTGGGCGTGGGGTGCTGAGGAGAGGGCTCCCTGCAGAGCCCTGTGCCTGCCGTCCTTTCCAGTCATTCCCTCCAAACTTAGAGAAGTCTTCCTAAGCTGTGAAAGCTTGTATTTGTTAGTGGTGCTCTCCCGCCGGTTTCAGGTATTTTCCTGCATGTGTTAAAACCTTGGTAGCAGTGTGACATTAAACTAAAAGGCTCTTGGCATTTATTTTATTATTAAAAAGGAAATTTAAAATAAGCTTCCGGGTCTGGTATAAAACTTGCATAGTTGACATCTGCTTAATTTCGACATTAGTTGTCAGGTTTGATCCTTCCCCATGTCCAGAGGGCATCGTAATTCTCGAAGCTCTGAAAAAAATACATTAATGGAAACCCTCTATTATAAAAGCTGTTTAGGCTAAAGATAATTATGGATTCACTTGGTTTCTATTTTATCTTATCAAATACATGTTTTTTTTAAGCTGCCTGACTATATGTGAATATTGCAATAGATGCACATGCATTTACCTGCTGTGTGAATGCACACAGGTGATTTCTTGATGCGCTATACGTACACGTGCATAATTTGCGCAGTATAAACTCATTATGTGAGCCTAGGAAAGTTGTTGTTTGGTACTACTTGTGTAGCTGGGAATTATTTTCATTATGCCTAGTCTTACAGACGGACTTTTTTTTTTTAGTATTATGTGCTTAGTAATTTCACTAAGAAAGGTGTTAGGAAAATCAAAAGGGAGCTGAGGTGGTTTGAAAACTCATCAATTTCCTACTCCTGGTTCTGGTTGGCTTTCCAGCTTTGGCTTTCTGAAGCGTGAATCCTAGCCCCCACTGTTTGTCTCTTTGTTCATGTTTAATGCCCAGCTCAGGAGACTCTCATTTGAAGCGGGAGTGTTTAGCATGCACAGCAGACTGTAGGAAGCCCATCAGCATTCTCCATGCTTCACCCAGGCAAGGACATAAATTGGTTTGTTTGGGGCCTTTCTTTTCCATTTTTAAATGGAGTTGCACACAGCATCCTTCCTGGCCCCTTCTCTTTTATTGTTTCTTGTACACAACATCTAGATCTGACTGGATCAATAGCTAGTTAGCACAAATCACAGTTCCTGTCAGTTCTACCTTGGCAGACTCGAACACATATATACATTCTCTCACAACTCACACACACTCCTCCCTCTCAGACACACACATGCACATAATATGCGTATGTACAGATAGGAGCATTTACGCATTGTGCTACACTTAAAAATAGATTTTAAAAGAGCAGCTTATTCCATAGATCTTAATTTCATGGAATAAAAAAAGGAAAGAAATCCTCACAATCCTAACAAAACAATGAATAGTCTGTGCATTTATTAAAAGTGTAATTTGGCTTAGAATTATGTATATTTCATGTATCTGTGTCATATGGAGTGTTGCCTTCTTTAACAGCACTCCCACGTTCACTTTGATCATCACTATTCTTAGTAACATCTAGTGAAATAAGTAATTGCTTTCTGGTCGTGATAACCACAATGTTGCTGTTAAAACAGTTCATCACTTGGAAGGAAAACCATTTAATCAGTGCTCCTATATAAGGATATGTTTTAGTATTTCAAAGAGTAAGCACAAAATAACGAACCAGTTTTACAACAATGGATAGAGGCACTCATTTTGTTTTACACTTGAGTCACTTGAAGGATTTGAATGGACTGGTACTTCGGATGAGAAAATTCATGCACACAAGTAGAGAATTTACCATAACTGTTGTTGGAAGTGATAAAGATACAATAGGTGAGATAAAACAGGCCATTCTCTTTGGTTAGTAGAAATAATTTGACTTTACATTACCATACACTTGAGTGTTTGAAACTGTTTAAGAAAGAGCTTTATTTTTCTGGTGATTGAGATTTTAAACCATTCTAGTCAACTGAGATTTGCATCGATGGTATTTTTTCGAGCAGTTCCCTGTTGTACACAGGTAGGATGAATGCGCAGGTTTCAGACAGCGCTCTTCCCAGTTCCAAGCCGTTACTAAATGTGCTTAGTACTACACTGGAGGAGTGTTTGCTGTGGCACACATTTTGTAATACTGTGTAATATTATTAAGAGTGAAATTAGTCGTTAGAGCTAACTTCCCTAACCAACACACATGCACTGTTGGTGGGCTATTTCATTAGACCTACTGTGATGGGAGAGAAAATGTTCTGTAATTTATTCATAATATGAGGTTGTTGTGATGCGTGTTGATTCCTCTGTGGGCTCAGGGAGGGGTGGAAGAACGGCTCAGACTGGTGTGAATGACCAAGTTTTACCGTGGCAGAGCGCTGAATTCAGCGTGCCGCCTTCTTGCTGCTCTTCTCTGTAGGAGTGGCGTGTGTGTGCGAGAGGCATTTAAGCCTCTGTTCTCCTGGAGCTCTTAGAAGGATATTTTTGTAATTAACAAGCTCTCTAAAACCCAGCAAAACCAGGAACGTTTTGAATATTCCATTAATGCCTGGATTACTGATGGAAACAACTTGTTCGAGTTGTTTTAATGACTGTTCACATTCCTTATAACTCATCACTTTTTCATACTCGTAGTATTAAAATGATTTGCTAATACCTAGCAATCTATCGGAGTTTTAAAGGTAGATGACAACAGATAACAGCATTTCAGACACCTGTGCTGTAGGTGCCCGTGTAGTATATATACACTTATATTATTTAATAACTGCCTTTAGCGAGTTCTGTGTATATGTCTGCATTTTTCTTCTCATTTTAACCTAATGGTGACTGCTCATTGTTTTTCACTGAAACGTAGTTTTCAATAAGGAATCTTCTCTGACATATAGTGTCTCGTACTAACACGTACTATGTGAAGAGGCTGTTTGTTTTTCACCAAAAATGCATTATAAAGTATCCTGCTTTCCTCTGCCATGCAGCTAGAGCTGGAAGTGCAATGTGACAATATTCAGTGTAGAGAGGTCATGTTGACTTCCAATACCATAGCTCTAACTAACAAAGAGTAACGAGATCAAATTCACATAAAAACCTAGCACTAGTGTAATGGGTTTCTGCGCTGCCTGGTTTGACTGAACCAGAACAATTTTCCTTCAGTGACATGTTGATTAGTATTCTCCAGGAACCCAGTAATTAGGTTCTACTGGGCTTTCGGCTTTAGTCATTAATTGAAATTTTGAAGGTCCCATACTGCATATGTCAGGTGAAGACATAAAAATGTAACCTAGAACCAAGCAGGTTGGTTGGAAAAAAGAAGAATATAGTCAGATATTCTGTGGCTGTTGCACTGCTCTGTGCTGATATGCAAGTGTGGTGCAGAATATTTTAGATGTTATCCTGGAGTTTTTGTAAATATTTCATCATAATACCGAACCTACTATTTGAATGAGCCAGCAGGCCAAAACTGTTGAAGAAGCAGGATGTAACATTCGTAAATTACTACCAAATATATTAACAAAGGACAAATTTGGTCCAGATGCAGCTATGAGCCTTTGTTTTCTTTCTTTTCCTGGTATGTTCTGTTGTGTGCTTTTATTTTAAATGCAGCTAAATTCTTTGAGAGGTTTTACCAAGGAAGTAGGTTTGTTTACTGGGGCTGACTTTGTCCGACCTCTTATGAGGTATTTCAAACACTTAAATATCATTTCAAGCAATATACGATTTGAAACGGAATTATACCATAGTAAGGATTGTTGGAAATGAGTTCATTGACTAAGCTCAGTGCACTTTGCAGTGATGAATCTGTGATTCCTGATGATGCTTTGTTTGCTTTAAAGAGCTGTTTAAACGTACACCAGGAATTTTAACTGTTAGTGAAAAAAATGCTATTACCTTTGCCAAGAAGTTATGCGATATATTCCGCAGCTATGAAATACACATCTTTAATAAATGATCTGGATTAGCAGGCAGACTTATGAGGAAAAAATACTCCCATTGCATATTGTTGAAAAGATTTCAGTGTGCATTAGGTTTGGGTTTAATATGTTCTTTTAAACTCTTCTGATCTATTCAAAAAACCGAGAGGTTGGCTCTGGTTGACCTGGTTTCATTTGGGTGACAGTAGTACTCTAATGTCTACTTTGACAAACTGTAATTTTTAATATTTTCTTACAAGAAAATGGTCCTGTTTAGAAACATATATATATATATTTATTAATATTTTGCAGCACTGTACTTGTAGACTTTTCTAGCAAATATTAGAGAAGGCAAGAGGTAGAGTTTTTAGTATTACTTGCTATTGCTGCTATAATGCACTAAAATATGTAATGCAGAAGGTGTGTGAATTTATTGTGATTTCAGTTACTAGCGTAGCCACTCTATTTGCCTTTACATCCGTCTATCCACCTCTGGACTGCCTAGCTGTATTTGAATTAATGCACATCACAAATTTGGTTTGCACCATGATACTTTCTTCTAACAAAGTCTGCTATTTTATGATGGCTTGTTTTGTTGTGAAATTAGTTTTAACAGGGATGTTTTGTACATGCTAGGTGTGAGAGTGTGCATGACATTTGAGGGATATATTTCTTGAAATTAGTGTGTGCATATGTTTTAGTTCTTTACCTATGATGAAAAAGGAGATGGATTAGACTTCATATGTATCTATGAGCATAGGTCAGAGAATAGATTTATTCTGATCT